ATTTATGGAGTAGCCAAATGCCTGCTCACAGCTTTAATACCAGCAGCTCACAATGCTCACAAGACTCCAAAGTTTAGAGGGAGCACTGGTTTGGAGTGCAAATTCTACAACTGAAGGAACCAGGTATATTTAGCCTGGAGAAGAAAAGCCTGAATGGAGAGGGGACTGTGCTGTTCAAATAGCTGAATGGTCACCAGACAGGAGAGGGCAAAGGTTTTTTTCTCTGCTGCTTCACAGAGAAAGACTAGATCTAATGGGCTTAAGCTACAGGAGGGTATGTTTTGGTTGAACATCAGGAGACACTTTGACAATGGACTCAGTCATTTGGGATGGGTGGATTCTCCACCGTAGCATAGCCTAGACAATCTCCCATTAGGAACACCAAGCGGTGGATTTCCTATACAGGACAAGGGGTTGGCCTAGATGTCTCCGAGGTCCCTTCCAACTCTAGGAGTGTCTGACCACGTACTAAGGATGCCATACCAGTTCAGAAACAGCACCCTAGGAGGCCTCGCATGAGTGAGATGAGTGCACAGGATGCGTGGGCAGGATGTATGTGGGCATGACCATGGGCAGCTGACCGCCATAGCACCAGCCAAGAAACATGGCCGTTGAGTGCCAAGGTGCATACATCAAACCATTCCCGCCAAAGACAAGGAAAAATAAGGGCTGCAAACATTACATGCATCAAACTGTTTGACATACTCAAAGGGACCCCTAATTAAACTAGGCAGCAGATTCTCGTTGTTGTTTTTTTAAACAAGTGATTTAAAAAATTGCTAGCATTAAGCACCACCTTTGAAAAGGCGTTCCCACCTGCATGTGAGAAAGGGGAAATGCTCCGTTTCAGAAACTGCCTGCCGTGACACACGTATGCATCATCTGCTGAACTAGAGGAAACTATGTCTTCCTCATATGCAAATGTAAGTAGATTTGGTTAATCCACTGCAATCGATACAGTGAAGCAGGTATTAATTGGGTGAAAGCCCTAGTAAAAAAGCACCCAAGTCAAATCTTTCTTTGATTCATCACATGAATTGGCTCTGCCCTGAACTCTGTCACCCTTTTCAGAAAGAAAGGAGATCAGACAGAGAGAGATTCTGAAGCGCAAAAAGCTTCAGTTCACACGCTGACACAGCAGGAAAAATTTCTTAGAAATCACAGGAACAACAACGCTAAGCTGTACATATGCCAAAAGGCAATGCGCAGGAGAGATACCAGCAGGTGTGTCTCCAGGCAGCGTGTGGGACTTCAATCTTGCTCAAGACCATCTGTGAGAGGTGTAGTGGTGAGGGAAGGGTTCTCCAACAGGGCACCCGCCAGTACTTCCCTTGCAGCCCACCAAGTTTTTCAGAAAGTGGGTGGAGCCCCTGTAAGGTACAACTTGTTATTGGCTGCATTCCCTCATTTGAACGAAAGGGTTTCCACTGGGGGATCAAGAGGTCTGGTAAGGGCCTGGGCTTTCCTTAGCATGTGGCTCCATTACCCCCTTCTCAGGAGGTGTGGGGAGGAAGGTTTTTCTCTTTGACTCCACCTCTTGCAGCAGCCATTTTGGGTTTGGCCCCGCCTCCCGTGGCAGCCATTCCCTCTCAAAATTCCATATTGCCCACAGGCTCCAAATGGTTGGGGACCCCCCCTGGGTACAATGGCAGGCGAGGAGATCTGTGTTCAAAGTTTCACTCGGCTACGAATCTCAGAGCACATTCTCTCTGTCTCAAGCTAACCCACCCCACAGGTTTGTGGTGAGGATACAGCAGAGGAGCGACAGAACCACACCTGGCATTCCCGGGGGCAGGATAAAAACACAAGACGTCGAGGGACCAACCACCCAGTTCCTTTCTGGCCTAGAATCTGAACTCAGCTCCACAGTTCCAGGCACTTGAGCACACCGGCTGCAGTTTAGATGCTCAACAAGTTGGAGAGCTATTTCTACCAGGCGTGAACACCACCACCACCTCAGAGACTTACAGCTTTTAGAGTCCCATTGGTTGGATCCAATAAGAGTACCGTTGCTTGGTGCGTAGGAACAGAAGGGTCCTTTAGGTGCTCATAAAAGGTCACCAGCTTGGTGGTCAAGGCATCATCCTTTGCACTGTACGCAGGCATCACGCCTAAGAACCTTCAGACAACAGAAGCAAACCTTTGAGCGCTTCAGTTTCTCTCCCTTATTGGCCACACAGCTGATGAGAGGGGAATAAGCTTCAAGGAATATATGAAACCAAGAAAACCACACATTTCCCTGATACCCCAGGGCAATTTAAAGAAATAAAATTATAATTCTTTAATGGGCTCTGGATCACAAAACCTGATAGAAAAACAGGGTATGAAGAGACCCAAAGACTCTTGGTTTTAATTTCTGGTATAGCTAAGGCTTTTCGCACCTGCAAAGTATTTAACAAGTTTTGTTTGACTTCACAACAGTCTTGGAAGGGAGGACAGCATGCCACCATGAAATCTTATGCTCCCCAAAATAGATTCTAGAATCCTGTCTGTATTAATGGCACCCCTTACATTCATTTTTGTCAAGATTTTATCCTAACAAGGATTTCCACGTGAACATTTTCAAAAGTGGAATCCTAGAGAGAATTACTTTCGAGATATCCCAGAACTGTTTACAAAAGGCACACTGTGGAACAGAACATCCTACCCAGAACTATCAAAACAGAGATTCACCACTTCCCCTCTATGAAAGCTTTAAAAAAAAAAGAGCTGTGAACCACTAAACAGATACTCCCCAGTTCTTATCAGCAAAGGGTAACCCATGAGTGGAGTGTGGGGAAACCACCAACAGCTGCTCCTTTAACAGCTGCAGGAACCCAAGCGGTGAGATGTGAAGAAACAGCTTTGCTGAATTCCTGCCGGTCAGTCATGATGTAGCCTTCCAAGGCACAGGAGCCTTCAAAATAAATAAATAAATAGGGAAGCGGAGAGAGAGAGAGGAAGAGCCCTCCCCCCCAAAAAAACCGGGTTGCCAACTAACAAAATCTGTCTAGTCTTTATTTTGGGGAGCGTGGTTGCACCAGGGCAGAAGTCAGCAAGAAAATCTCTGCAGATTCTCTTAAAAACTGCACATGAGCCGAGGCCAGTGGAAGAAGTTGGCAACCCTGCCCCGCCGCATAAATAAAAAAAATCCTTCGGGACGAGGCTGCCCACCCTTTCCTCGCCGCCCCCCACCCCCAGCCCGGCTCTCACCCGCTGTACTTCTGGATGGGGACCACGGTGCGCACCGGCTGCACAACGCCTCCCTCGGGGCCGCTGGAGAAGTCCGCCAGGGCGGCTTCCAAGGCGGGGACGAGCAGGCTGGCGGGGGGGAAATGCTCCTCCACGGCCTCGGCTCCCAGGAAAACCGGCGGCGGGACTCCCCGACTCATGGTGGTCGCCGCGGTTCCCCGAACGCCGCCGCCTCGCTGCAAAGTGCGGCCCGGGACGAGGAGGCGCTCCCGCTCCAACCCGCCGGCCCTCCAGCGCCGCCGAGCGCCGCCTAGCGGGCACGCGGAGCAGCCAGCCAATGGCAGGAGGCCAGACCCGGGGCTGGCTGGCGGCGTCGCTCCCGAGGACCCGAATGGGAAAGAGCAGCGGGCTTGAAGGCGCGCCCGTGCAGGATGCGGTCCCCGAGAGCCTGTTCCCACGAGCACACGCCCCGGCCGGCCCCGCAAGCTTTCGGGCTCTGCAGAGCTGATTCAGGGGCAGAGCCGTGTTGCTTTGAAGTAAGGGGACAAAGTTTGAGTCCGGCGGCGCCTTGAAGACCCACACAGTTGAATTCTTGGGAAATCAATGTTCCCTCTAAGCTGCGGAGTCTTGTGAGCAAAAATTCTACTTTGTGAGCTCCTGGCATTAAAACTACGAGCAGGTGATCTGGCTGCAGCATAAATTAGTTTGCTCTGGAGCCCTCCTTTCTGAGCGAAGACAAAAATGGGTGAGCTGGAGGCTCAAAATCTGTGAGCTGGCTCACACTAACTCAGCTTAGAGGGAACACTGCTCGGGATCAACTTTCGTGTGCACGCACACTGGTTCAGATGCGTGGATGAAGTGTGCGTGCACACGAAAGTTTCTACGCAGGGGTCTTCAAGGTGCCGCTGGACTCAAACTTTGTTCGTTTTTTCCCTCCCGCTGCAGGTCGCCAACAACCTCCCGGTTGGGGAGGGGGGTTACAACTCCCAGAATTACAACGGCTATCCAGACTAATCACTTATTTCGTTATTTAAAACACTGACCCCACTTCTGATGAAGGAAAACGGCGGCTTTGGAAGGCGGACTGCCCCTGGCTTTATGTACCCTACACCAGGGTCCCTCCCGTCCCCCAACCCCACTCTCCCGGTCTTGGCATTTCTGCAGCCGGGCTTGGCAACCCCAATTTTAAATTAAAAACAGAGAGGAAGAGTTCTGTAAAGGTATTATAGGGATTTTGTTTTGGACTCAAAACAGTTATTCCATCCAAACAATGGATTTCCAATCCCTGACAACGACGCGGGTCCAAGTTGTCGCCAGTGCCTGGTTACATTTTGATTCGAAATGAAAACGAAATAAAACATGGGAAATATTTCCAAAACACTGTGTAAACTCTTACAGTGCACTGTTAGGAGCCAGTGCCGCGCCCCGTTCCAAGCTTCCTAGAGCACGTTCCGGGAAGGTGAGGACGTTTAGTTTCTTTTGCTTTGATTTACAAAATAATATTTTTGTTGCATAACTGGAATGTGTGTCATGGAGGGACTGTGGGTTGTTGGGGCTAAAACATCTGCTGTGCGCGCAGAAAGAACTGACATTGTACCTCCGGGGGGGGGGGGAGAAGGGGGCAGCCGAAAGGGAACCTTTAATCTTGCCTGTCTCATTGAAGGATCCCCCATGTAATGCCACCCTCTTCTTTCCCCGCATATGGACGTCACTACCAGCTGCAATCGGGAACCGGAAGTTTAAAGGAAAACCATTGTCCACTCTCTCTCCGTCTGCGGCCCTGGGAAGAGAGAGCCAGGAAGCTCTTCCTGTTTCTCTATGGTCCGGCTGCGCGGTGCATGCCGGGCAAGCGAGGTCCTCTTCCGCTGCCATCTTGGTTTCCTCCTTGGGAGGTTGGGGGCGGCTATGGAGGCGATGAAGTCCGTTCCGCTTGCGGCGCGTTGCCTTTCGGTGAGCGGGGTCGGCCTGGCGGAGGGGGCCGAGGCGGCAGAGCCGGGCAGCCGCCTGGGTGGGGATGGCGAAGGGGAGAGGCCCGAGGAGGGCAGCCGCGACCTTGACCTGGGCCTTGAAGGGAGGAAAGAGGCCGGCAGCGGCTCTCCTCTCCTTGGCAGAAGGTCACGCCCAGGAACCCCGCAGCACCCCCGCTGACATGCTAGTTTTCTCCTTGCAGGGCCTGGCTGCTGTGCATTTGTAATGGAAGGTGCAGGGCCGAGGGAGGGGGCCCCCTGTTGTTCTGTATAGTACATTTTGATCCCTCCCTTCTTGCAAAGCGCTCAGGGTGGCATACTTGATTCTTTTCCCTTTTGTTCATTTTATTCTCGCAACAACCCTGCAGGGTAGGTTGAGCGAAAGTTATAGGTCCAGGGGCCAGCTTCAGGGTTCTCTTCTATGTTTTATCTTTATGATAACAAGAAAATTAAGAGCCACACCAGTTGCAGGGGATAAAAAATCGGACTGAGGCCGATGGTGCAAAATCAGGTAAGATTCCCCTGACAAAGCCTGCTGGCGAAATGCTTAGGGAATTTTTGGAAATTTAACTGAGTAATAAAATAGATTTTTACCTGATTTTGCACCACTGGCCTTGGCCATATTTATTATCCTTATGATAGCCCTGTGAGGCACCTTAGACTGAGAGAATGCAACTGGTTCAAGGCCACTCAAGTGGCACCTTAAAGACTAGCAACATTTATGATTTATTTATTTATGAGATTTTTATCCTGCCCTCCCGGCTCAGGGCGGCTTACAAATAGGATAACATTCCAAAATACAATTACATAAAATCACATAAATTAAAAAACACAATGTTAAAACACAAACATGATAAAGTGCTAGCAACATTCCTCGCTTTACGGTTAGCTCTTCAGCCTTCTGCGGCTGTCTAGGGCGATTGGCTCGGGCAGTGTTTAAGGGACCATGGGCCAGCACAACGTCTTTAGCACAGGTCAGATGTGCTTCTGAATCGGGATTCCCATCAACAACCTGGCCACAGCGTTTTGCACCACCTGCAGCTTCTGGATTTGTGACAAGGGCAGCCCCATGTAGAGGGCATTACAGTAATCCAATCTCGAGGTGACCATCGCATGGATCACTGTAGCCAGGTCATTGCGTTCAAGGAAGGGAACCAGCTGCCTAATTAGTCAAAGATGGTAGAAGGCCGACTTGGCAGTGGCTGCTACCTGGGCCTCCATTCTTAAGGAGGCATCTAGGAGCACTCCCAGACTCCTAACCTCCGGCGCTGGCCTGAGTGGTGCCCCATCGAAGATCGGGAGCGGGATCCCTACCCTCGGACCGCTCCGACTCAGGCACAGGTCCTCTGTCTTCGTCAGATTCAATTTCAACCAGCTCAGCCTAAGCCAACCAGCTACAGCTTGTAATGCTTGACCTAGGTCTTCCGGTTTGGAGTCAGACTGGCTGTCCAACAGCAGATAGAGCTGGCTGTCATCTGCATATTGGTGACAACCCAGCCTCCAGGCAGTTTGGGCAAGAGGGCGCATATAGATGTTAAAAAGCATCGGGGACAGCACTGCCCCTTGTGGTGCCCCATTGAAGATCGGGCACCACTACATTCCAATGAGGCACTCTACATTCCAATGGGTGCCTTTGGGATAGCTGATCCCCCAGCGCCAATCTTGGAGAAAGGAAGCAAGCCACTGCAAGGCTAGTCTCTGAACTCCAATGTTGGTGAGGCGGTGGGTCAGTATCTGATGGTCAACCGTGTCGAACGCGACTGACAGATCTAACAGCAACAGCACTGCCGATCCGCCCCAATCCAAATGCCTCCGGAGGTCATCTGTGAGGGTGATCAGTGCTGTCTCCATCCCTTGGAGACAGCACTGGACTGGAAGGGGTCTAAGATGGAAGTGTCATCCAGAAGGTGGGTAGCCGTGTTTGTAACAGTAGAAAAGGGTAAGAGTCCAGTAGCACCTTAAAGACTAACAAAATTTGTGGCAGGGGATGAGTATTCATGAGTCACTGCTCACTTCCTCGGAAGTGGTAGAATGTGCTAGAATGTGAGTCCATCTGTCCTATATATTGGAAAGTGGAGTGATTTCAGATGCCAAATGACCAGAGTAGGTGTGATTGGATTAGATGTGATATGCAGAGAGGTAGTAGGTGTGGAGAAATCAGCATTAGTAATGAGTCAGGAAACCTAGGTCTCTGTTCAGTCCAGATGGATGCATTGTCTTGAACTTCAATATCAGTTGCAGTTCAGCAGTCTCACTTTCTAATCTCCCTTTGAAATTCCTTTGCAAGAGAACTGCTACTTTTAGGTCAGCAACTGAATGTCCTGGAGGGTTAAAATGTTCCTCCAGTGGTCTTTGAATGTTGTGATTTCTGATGTCAAATTTATGTCCATTAATTCTTTGTAGAAGGGACTGTCCTGTTTGTCCAATGTAGAAGGTGGAAGGGCATTAACTGACACTTGATGGTGGCATAAATCACATTAGGGGATGAGCAGGAATATGAACCTGAGATGGTATGGCTGATGGTGCTGGGTTCACTGATGGTGTTGCTAGGATCTATGTGAGAGCAAAGTTGGCATCTTGGCCTTGGCACCAGGGTCCATGTTACTGCTAAGGAGTTTCTCATTGTGGGTGAGAAGTTGTTTCAGATTGGCAGGCTGTCTGTAAGGCCCCCCGTGCCTGTGTAAGGAAAGTGTCACTGTCCAGCACTGGTTGTAGGTCATTAATAATGTGTAGGTCATTAATTGTAGGTCATTAATTAATGTAGACATTAATAATGTCTGGAGTTTGTGAGCTGCAGGTGACCGCCAGTGGTGTTCTGTTGTCATTTTCTTTGGGCTTGTCTTGTAGCGAGCTGTCCCTGGGTATCAACAGGCATTTTTGCAACGACAATATCCTCCTGAGATGGTGAGAAAGAGGATTGGAGAAGCTCATACGCTTACCACAAATTTTGTAAGCCTTTAATGTGCTAATATTTATTTCAATATGCGCTTTAGTGATTCTGAGCCCACTTCTATGTGGTGACTCATGAAAGCCCATATAGAAATAAATGTTAGTCTACAAGGTGCTGCAAGACTTTTGTTTTGTTTTGCTAAATTAGACTAATATGTCTACACCTTTGCAATCACCAAGGTCACCCAGTAAGCTTTCGGTGGGGATCTGTGCAAAGGCCTTCTTCGTGGCTGCCCCATGACTTTGGAACTCCCTCCCCCTGTTTGTGCTGTGTTTACTTACAGGAAGATTGGCAGGGACCAAGACATGGCTAGGCATTTCATTTGCCAGTCAGGATGCCTGTCAAATGGGTTGCAGAGGTGGGTGGAAGCTGGACTTAACTTACAGGAGGAAAGAAACCAGCAAGCACTGATACCTAAAAATATTGCCTTGTTATTTTAAGAGTAAAATAAGAACTCTGTGCATTGCAAATAACCATAACAGAGCTACAGATCTGTAGCTTTAATAGGAAAATGAAGCAAAAAGATTTTTGACTCAGGATCACTTTTTACTGAGCTTGCGAATCAAACACTAATTTGTCATGTGATTTCTTTTGTGTTTTCTTGTTAGAAGAGGTTTTATTCTCTCAAAAGTGCACCGAAAGCAGATGCCTTTTCTGCAGCAGAACGGGCCAAACTTCAGCTACATCCTCAGGATCTTGAGGTCAGTACGGAGCAGAAATCCCTTTGCATCTTAGCATTTGTGTTAATTGGAGGAGGTGGCAGTGAAGAAGCCCTAGTTAATACGGGCTGCTGTCTCCTCTTCTGAATGCAGATCACAAAACTACCGTATGGCTTAGTGATCGCGTCTCTGGAAAATTACTCTCCTGCCTCAAGAATTGGGGTCTTTATCAAAGCAGGCAGCAGGTATGAGACCACTGCCAATTTGGGAACAACACATCTGCTCCGTCTTGCCTCTAACCTGGTGAGTACTCATCTTTTGCTTAATTCTTTGATGTTTGGAAAAGATGATGGATTATTTACAACCATGCACTTGGGACTAGCGGGGACTGGCATACTGTGTGGGTACGGAGTCCAGAGCATCAGTCAGAATCCTGAGTGTCCTGACACTTGTGCTGGTTGTCATCTTTGCCTTTGACCTGTGAAACTTTTCTCAACAACGCTAGATTCGGGGAGAAAGGAGTACAAGGTGGACTTAAAACTGAGTTGCCAAAAAGACTCGGTCTGGACACCAAATACCACCCCTGCATGGTTAAAGACTCAGAGCTATGGTTTAGTGGGAATTAGCAGCTCAGTTTGCAGTCTGCCAGCAAACTAGTATTAAAAACCAGATTTGAAGTGGGTTGGTGCAAAAACAGGAGCACTGCACAGATATTTGATTGGAGGTGGGAGTCATGTCCTTTTTATTCATCTTCATCAGCCAGTGGTAACTGCCTTCAAAAAGGTTTTGCTGCACTAGAAAATGAAAAAAAATGTTTTCCTCTGGTTTGATTCTCTAGCGTATATGTTATTGAATGTCCTTTTTATGAGGTTCTTAGACTGCATTACAATAGTCTTCTTTTAGTTGATTGGCCTGGATTATCCATGTCTGACATAATACCCTTTTTATTGAATGACAGGGATCCTAAAGTTACACTGGCAGTTACAAAGTTTATTTCAGTCCTTATGTCCCTTAAGTAGCAGGTTTAAACAATTCCGCTGCTCAAGATCTATGCCTCAAAGAGCTTATAAAGGATAAACAAAAGAAAATACAAAATGCTTGGCGTATGGTGTGCTAACTGCCGTACAGGCCCAGTGTCACACTATGATGAGGACATTTGCCCAGTCAGAGGCTGTGAGACCCTGCTGTGGGTTGAAGAAGCCAGGTGGGTAGCAGCCTCACCTGCCAAGCTGTTTGTAGAAGCTGCTCCTTGGGCCCATAACATCAGGGCACATATCTGAGGCTTAGAGAGAAATTAGAGGGCAAAGGAATACTTCCAAAAGCTTTGGATGTAGGCATAGCTCAAAGGCACTGGTCTCTTGATCAGTGTTCCCTCTAAGCTGAGTTAGTGTGAGCTAGCTCACAGTTTTTAAGCCTCTGGCTCACACTTTTTTGTCTTTGCTCAGGAAGGAGGGCTCCAGAGCAAACTAATTGATGCAGTAGCCAGATCCCTCGCTCACAACTTTCATGCCAGTCGCTCACAAAGGAGAATTTTTGCTCACAAGACTCCAGAGCTTAGAGGGAACATTGCTCTTGATTCATAATTTCATCAGACGCAAGGCATTTGGGAAACTCCTTGATGCCAACAGAATGAAGGCAGTTTACGATTCAAATCCTTTCGTTTTTATTTTATTAGTTCGATTTATACCCTGCCCTTCCCACCAAAGTGGGCTCAGGGCAGCTTACATAAAATATATATAAATACAATTAAAAACATACATAAAGCATCCAAGAACAATCAAAAGCCATTTTCGAAGTGCCGGAAACAATTAAAGAGCAGAGCGGAAGTTCCTAAAACCAACCATATCACTACTTGGATATTGTCCTGGTGGTATTCTCAATCTGATTGCATAATTTATGTGGCGAGATAGACTGACTGACTGTGAAATAGACTGAGGGTGGAAGAACCAGGGCACAGGGTCACTCCTCTGTGTTTAAGGCAGCTCCTAATCAAAAGCCTGGTGGAAGAGCTTTGTCTTACAGGCCGTGCGGAACTCTAAAAGGTCCCGCAGGGGCCGTGATCTCCTCCAGGAGCTCATTCCACCAGTATGGAGCTGCCACCGAGAAGGCCCTGGCCCTGGTGATCACCAGTCTAGACCTGTTGAATCTAGTATCTCTCTCACCTTTCCCCTTCTCACCCCACCCTGCCTTGGTCCCCTGTAATGGGTAGGAATCTGCAAGTGTGTCCCAAGTGTGTCCACCTCCTTCCACTTTGTTGGCTGCCACTTGTGGGGAACAGGAAGTGTACTGTGCAGTCCAATTTGGTGTAGTGATTAGGAGTGTGGACTCTAATCTGGGAGAACCGGGTTTGATTCCCCACTCCTCCACATGCAGCTGCTGGTGTGACCTTGGGTCAGTCATCAGTTCTCTCTGAGCTGTTCTCTCAGGAGCAAGCCCCACCTTCCTCACAGGGCGTCTGTTGTGGGGAGGGAAAGGAAAAGGAGATTGTGAGCCACTCGGAGACTCCTTTGGGTAGTGAAGGGCAGGGTATAAATCCTGTCTCTTTTCCTCCTCCTCCTCCATCGCACCCCTTTTTTTAAAACTTAATTTTTCATTTTATTATTTTATAAACAACACATTTTACAAAAATACAACTCTTCTAACATCTAACAAAAAGAACACAAAACTTTTGTTACACAGCACCCTTTACATTTCGTATCTTTAGGTACAATACTCATTGAACAGTCAATAGAACATGAAGTCTAAATATTTCTTAGGTACCGAGCAGATCTTCTTCGCAGAGTTAGTAACAAATTCAGAAAAAAGACAACCATCTTTTCAAGAAGTTTGTAGATGTTTTAATATTGTCAGTTGCTGCTATCTGGGATGCTAATTTGTCTGTGACTGCCAAGTCCCATACCTTCATATACCATTGACTCTCAGTTGGAATTTTCTTCGATTTCCAATTTTGAGCTATTAAAGTTTTTGCTGCTATAAGAAGGATTAACAAAATATCTATTTTATTTCCTGACCTATAATTTAACTGTATAAATTCGGGAGTAAATGGAATCTTGATATCTAGAATTTTCTCAATATGTCCTAATATTTGGCTCCAAAATTTGGCGATTACAGGACAATCCCACCAACAATGTTTAAATGTTCCAATACCACCACAACCTTTCCAGCATTGTGGGGTTACATTAGATATTAAATGAGCTAACCTTTGAGGTGTTAAATACCATCGGGAATAAACTTTAAAATTTTGAAGTTTAATGTTCAGTGCGTTAGTTTTAAAAAGATAATTAGAACAGATAAAATTCCATTGGTCTTTATTTAGATATAATCCACGATCTTTATGCCAAGATCTTTGTATTGAGGTCAACTGGTTCCATTTTTTTTTTTGTTTTAATAAATGATATATTGAGGAAATCACTCCCCTTGCTGATTGTTTATTGTTTGAAATAAAAGCCTCAAATTGTGTATGTGGTCTACATACCAAGCGTGCAATACTAGGGCTTTGTACAAAATGTTTGATTTGACAATATTGTAACCATGGAATTTTAAATTTGTATTTCGTCTCTAATTGCTGTTTGGTAAGCAACTGATTTTGTAGTTATAAATTCCCTAGTCGAAATAATCCTTTTTCTTTCCATGATTCAAATGCTCCATCGCACCCTTTTAAGCCCACTGACTTCAATGGGCTTGGAAGCGTGAAATTCTGATAGGATTGCTCAGTTAATATCCCTTATTGCATTTCACTCCATGTTATCTGGAAGTAAGAATGGGGGGGGGTGTATTTTGGGCCACTGCTATGCTTTCCCCAAGAGAGTGACTTGAGTCCAGCCTTAGAAAAGAGAAGCTCTTGATCGCCACTGCTTTTGAATTTCCGAAGAAGAAAAAATAATGGAGTGCCATTCAGTCTCAGTGGACTTGATGTAACCCCTCATTAGAGATGTGAAGGCCCGGAAAAAAACCGGAAAAATTCGGGGGGAAAAACTTTTTTCCCCCCGGTTTTTTCCCTGAAGATTTTTTGTTTTTTTCTGAAAAATTGGAAAAATTGAAAAAAGAAAAGAAATGATTATGGAACGTTTTATTTTAACATGATGAATAAAATATTTTAAGACAAGGTGTTCAAATATTTTCCAAATCATTTCTAAAATATATATATATATGGTATCAGATTAATCTAATTTCTGTGCACTGAGGACAAGCAAGTCCTAGGTTACAAACTGAACTCTCCAATGCAAGAACAAGATGCATTTCTTCCTTTAGGAGGTGCTATTGTCAGAAGAAAATAAAAAGGTTTCAGTTTTGTTTTTGCATGTGGGTGGGTGCCCCCCCCCCCCCCGAAACAAACCAGAAAAAAAACTGGGGTTTTTTTCCGAGCTTTAAAATTTCCGGAAATTTTACATCTCTACCCCTCATGGAATTTTTCAAGGCAAAAGATGAACAGGTTTGCCATTGCCTGCCTCTGTGTGGTCTCCCATCCAAATACTAACCATGGCCAGCCCTGCTTAGCTTATGAGCTCTGGTGAGCTCAGACTAGCCGGGGCTGTTCAGGCTGCTTTGACCTTATTATATCTCAGTCGCTGATGTATGTGACTTATTAGTTACAGTTTATTAGAAGTGCCAGCATTGGTTAGTTCCTGAGGCACAAAGTGGGCGGGTTTTTTTTAGACTTCACTCACACCTTGATGGCGTCTGTTGAAAGTGTCACTCTGGTTTTCTGTAGACCACAAAAGGAGCTTCAGCCTTCAGGATCACTCGGGGCATTGAAGCAGTCGGGGGCAGCCTAAGGTTTGTATCTACTTAACGTTCACCTGTCGTGAAGTAATTGGTTTCCTTGCTAGACCTCTGTATTGCTTCTCCTTGTCGCTCAAAGCCGCTCACAATAAAGAAAGCAAGTCAAAGCTGACCAGAATCCTGGCATATTAAAACCAAGTCAGGAAAATCCTGTCTGAGCAATATATAGCCTTCTGTGGCTGCATAAATTAAGGTCCCTGGGGAAATGGCATTTGGGTGTACGTGGCTTTAAGTGTGTGCTTTAAAAAAAAACAATGAAATGGGTAGCTGTCTGACTCACTGGCTGGGGCTTTAACTCCTGCAAGATGGTGGCAATTTTGGAAGCCACCCAAGATGCGAACACGTTTTGCTTTCTCCAGCTTTGAATATTTTCATGTTAATATGGCTGTCTTTTAAACGTGTGCATTTCTGGCAACCAGGGCTCTTTTTGTAGCAGGAACTCCTTTGCATATTAGGTGACACACCCCTAATGTAACCAATCCTCCAAGATCTTACAGTGTGTCTTCTTACAGTGTGTCTTCTTACAGTGTGTAAGAAGAGCTTACAGAGCTCTTCTTACAGTTAGGAGTATGTCGCCTAATATGCAAAGGAGTTCCTGCTACAAAAAGAGCCCTGCGTGGCAACCATGACTTCTGGTTCCATAAAGGACAAGTGCCTGGGCAGGTGCTCAAGCCATAATCCGTTGGTGATAAAGTATACAGCGAAGAGTGGTGGTCGGGCATTTATTTATTTATTTATTTATTTATTCCTTCGATTTATATACCGCTCACCCCCTAAGGGCTCTTAGTGCAGGAAGTGCTGGAAGGAACTTGGTGCAGTCATGGAGAGTGTCGCATAATATGTCTGCCCATCCCTCTGCTGGACACAAAACAGAACGTTCAAGCCGAGCTGTTCCTCTGTGAGCGGGATTTCTCTGACGCCCCATCCTGTTCCTCCCCTTTCAACCTGTCAACAGGGTTGTGGTGTCAGAGAGATCCGTACAGTCCAGCTCAAGGGTTGCATTCCATTGCGCGGTAAGTGGGATAAATTCAGAGGCAGAGCCAGTTGCAACCCGTGCCATTGCATTTTAGAGAAGAAACATTAGCTGAGGGAGGACCCCTTGGAGTTCTGTTGCCTGAGTGTGACGCTTCAGTAAATGTTCTTTGCATTGTGCTGTGTGGCCAGAGAGGTCCTCAGGTGCTGTATGAACACGGAGTGGAAGATTGTGGTCTACAGCAATGAGTATTCTAGGAGTTAACTTGTATTGTCTAATACTTTTGGAATTAGTTACAAAGTTTATATACTATTGTGACGACCCCTTAATGAGGTCTGGTTTTACTTTAAAATGTTTTGTTTTACTCTGTATACAGCTGCCACCAGGAAATTTTAAGGCTTTCCAAACCTTTATAATATATATTTCTATCACTGGGTAGGTATACCGAGGGTCTAGGCTTTCATGAAGGTCTATGTGGTCTGAGGAATATTCTTTCCAGAGCTGGTATACTTGAATGAAATAAAATTTATTTAAATAAAGCGTAAAAATGAGGGTAGAACATGTAAACAGTACTGGGAATGATTTGAACCATTGCTTGGTGTCTCTCACAAGCTTCTCCTTTACTGACAGGGAGGTTACAAGCAACTTTGTAACATAAACTCAAGGTCATGCAATTTCACTGTTTCTCTCCTTTAGACTTCAGAATGCACTTAATTTATCAAGTGTCTTATTCAACTCTAAGACATAGAACTTAACAACCCACACAGGGAAGCTTCTTCTCTCTCATACATAGCTTAACTGCCTTTCCCCTGCCTCTTTCAACTGTCAAAACTCTAACAGTCACTCCTGATAGACATTCAAATCATCCACACAGCATCCATTCCAAAACCCCTCCCCCTCTCTGTCACTCACCAATCCAGCACTCTAGATTATCATCACAGCCATGCAAACCAAACTTTTAAAGCCACACACACACAGTTAAACATGAAATCATTACAACTATGCTTTCCTTTAGGCAGCTAATGATGGACATGGTGTGTTAATTCTGTATTATTGCATTGTTCATTGGATATCTTATGCTGTAGGAGTACATTGCCTTTATTTTGTGTCCCACCTGGAGCCTTAGCAGGGAAGGCAGTTCATAAAGGAAATGGGTAGATCATCAAATAAGTGCACGAGCCTCTTTTGAGGCGGCATTGACTGCCTTTAAATAAAACCGGTGGCTGACCAAATCCAGTGTGTGAGTTATTTCAAGAGCACATTTGTGTATGTGTGTGTGTTTGTCTCAGTTTTTAAAAGGCAGTGAATCGTACGTGTTAACTGATGGGAATCTGCAGGCGTTTGCACTTGAATAAAACAGTAGCTCTCAGTGGGATGCCTCCTCTTGGATGGGCATTTTCTCCTGTTGGGTTGGGAGACAAAGCTGCATTCCGGCTTTCTGTGCCCACCAGGGGAGGCACCCTCCTGCTGCGGTTCTTTTTCTCCGTAGGAGGTAGAGAAGTGCTTTCTGGTATTTGAATCCCAGCAGGCACCATCTTACCAGAGCCGTTCCCTGCTGTGAGAAGAAGAAGAAGAAGAAGAGGAATTCCACGTCTTGGCTGCTTCCTGCCACCTGTAGCTTTTATAACTATTTCCAGGACACATGAAATGTTTCCTGGAAATGCATTTACCCTGTTACGGTGGGGCTCTTTTTAAATCAGTCCAACGTTATATGTTTATTTGTGTTATTCGTAGTCCGCCTTTCTCACTGGGATTCAAGGCAGACCTGCATTGCAGCCTTTGGGGAGGGGTATTTTAATGTCGCCTGTTTCCTTTTAGCTAAAGAGAGATGTTCCAGGGAAGTATATCAAGCCTTGTGCATATGAGACGTCATTTTAATTTTAAATAAATAAATACAGTAAGGTATGTTTATGAGCCCTTAAAAATCCCATCGTGTCTGATGTGTATCTCCTTATTCAGTGATGGCAAAACTGGGAGCTGCTTCAGGGCACAGGCTTGTCACAGCTGTTGCCGTTCAGCTATAAACGGCCCTATGTGTTGATGCGGCTCTGTGATAAACAGCAAGGTTTCAGCAAGTGTTTGCCTCCAGTGAGACTGTGATAACTTTCGGTTGCTTCTACTGGGTCTGCAGTGCAATTCTAAGAAGAGCTGGACTCTTCTGACTATTGTGGTCTTAGGAGGGTGTAGCTCTCCATGGGGATAGCACTGTAAGCGTCACCGTCATTCGAACTGACTCAGCATGTTGGGTTTCTTAACACATATTCACATAGAGGAGATATTTTGGTTAGAGATGAACAAAAATAATTGCTAATGACGTTAACACACCTGCAATGAGATTGAAACAGGAATAGCGTGTTAAAACCCAGTCGTCTCATACAGCCTTCTGAAAAATATACTTCTGTTTTTCTCTAGTGTGACCTGTACCAGGGAGAACATGGTCTATTCTGTTGAATGCCTGCGTGATTACGTGTAAGTTCCTGGAGTTCCTTTCCAGCCTCTTTTTATATTGATCAAGCTGCAGAATGCCCGTCCCACCAGTGGTTATTGTTTTTGTCCTCTGGTTACATAGTTTATCTTATATTCCAAGCCACAAATAACCAGTCACAACTTACCCGTAGGCTGGTTCCTAAAACAAGCCTTCCCTAATGTTTTCCCCTTCATTCATTCAGTGATACTGTAATGGAGTATTTAATCAACGTCACTACGGCACCAGAATTCAGGCGCTGGGAAGTGTCGGAGGTTCAGCCCCGGCTAAGCGTTGATAAGGTGATTGCCTTTCAGAACCCGCAAGTTGGTAAGTGTCTCTAAGCTATTTGTTTTAAGCACACGTGCATTGCAAAGACAGTTTTGTGCTCTTGAATGAGCAGTTTCATTGTTCTGTAGCCGGACATCACAGCAGGATGCTTCAGGGGAAACCCGTAACTCTAGCGCTAAAAATATTTGTGTTCTCTGAAGGATTTAAGTTGCTTGTGTACCAGTGATGATTTGGCTGGTGTGAGTTGTCACGCGGATGGGGCTTTTGGGAGGGTGTTTTTGCTTCTTTGGAGAAGCAGCCCACGTTGTCAAGAAGAGTTTCAAAAGCAAATTGTTGCTTGACCAGAGGATCTGCCTTTTCCGAGGGATGTGGTGAAATGCCAGTGGGCCTCCAGAATGGCTTAGATATGCCAACAGCTGTTACTCTTTGGCTCCTGGCTAGCATCTGGGCCGTAATGAACAGTTCTGCATGTAGGGGAGATGGAGCTGATTTGACTGATGCACCAGGAAAGCGCTTAAACTGTCCTTGCATTTATGGAGCTTCACGTAATCCAGGGCCCTCCTATTCAAGGGTTGGGCAGAGCTCTGCATGAGGTGTGAGAATTGTGTTTCTGCAGGCTGATATATGAATAGGCCGTTATTCTCTTCACTTCATAGTAAAAATCCATCATTCCTTGGGCAGGTGTTCTCGAAAACTTGCATGCGGCGGCTTATCGGAATGCCCTTGCTAATTCCTTATACTGTCCTGACTACATGATTGGGAAAATTACATCCGAACAGGTAGGACTTTCTTATAGCAGTGGTGGCGCACGTAGTCCTTTCTGGGTGTGTGTTGGGTCACACTAAAGGAGCATTGATGTATTTATTCAAAAAGTATCTAGTGCTCTGTGAGATGGCTGCCAAGTCAGTCTAGATATAAAACCACTGGAAGCAGAGCAAGTGGGCAGGCGGGGAAATAGTTGTGGTCATAAGAACAAATAAACTGCAAAATGAACAAGAGTCCTAAAAACCAATATCAAAATAGTTTGTTTAAAAGGCCATTAATTCAAACTATGTCAGAAGTTAGCAAAAGCCATTGAAATGCCTCAGCCAAAGGTCTGGTCTGGTGCCAAAAAACCCACTAAGCTTGGTACCAAGTAGAAGGCTGTGGGAAGAAGACTGAAGAACCAGGGTGCTGCTGCAGAGAAGACCCCGTCAAGGGTGCTAAGCAGGGTGACGGGAGCAAGTGGTTGTAGAAGACCCCTGGTCTTCACCCAGCTATTTAAGGCTTTTAATGTAATGACTGGTCCTTTTAACTGTGCCCGGAAGCAAATTATCAGTCAGTGCAGATGTTCAAATTTGTCCTTCCCAAAATGACATTTTAGCCTTGCAAAATGTTGTCCTTCAAAAATGGGAACCTTGGAAGCTTTTTTGGGTGGGAGGGGGGAGTTCTTCAGAAATGGAAGGTTTTCGTTCAAAGCAGTGGCCTGTCTCTAGTGCTCTCCTCCTTCAAGGCCCCATCCTTCCCAGTAGTTGCCGCATGACGGAGTGAGCTCCCGTCTCTAGTTCCAGCTCCCTAGAGTTGGACTCGACTGGCTTTCGAGCAAGGGAACCTTTTAGGAGCTGTGGTGGCTCAAGTGGTTAAGATGCTGAAATGCAGGCTGTGGAAGGTCAGTAGTTCAGCAGTTCGAGACCCGGGTTGCCACATGACGGAGTGAGCTCCCGTCTCTAGTTCCAGCTCCTGCTAACCTAGCAGTTCGAAAGCAAGAAATTGCAAGTAGATAAATAGGTACCACTTCGGTGGGAAGGTAACAGCGTTCCGTGCGCCTTGGTGTTTAGTCGTGCCGGCCACATGACCACGGAAACGTCTTTGGACAGCACTGGCTCTTTGGCTTTGAAACGGAGATGAGTACCGCAACCCTAGAGTCGGACTCGACTGGCTTTCGAGCAAGGGAACTTTTACCTTTACCTAGAGAAGGTTTGTCTAGTACTCCATTACTAGTGCTCAGTCTGCTTTAGGGATGTGTGTAGGTTGAAGTGCTTCAAGTGAAGTGTGAGCTTTCCAGAATGCTTTGTGTTGCACATGGGTGTTAATCGGGGAACTTGCAAATGAATGTCCGACTATACCGGCCTGGATAGAAAGTACCATTTCAATTAGTGGGCCTTCTGCCTCAATCCTAAGTGTGTCTGTGTGGAACCAGGTTACCTTTTGTGGTATCATCTTCTTAAAGTATTTCTACCAAGGCCAGTGGTCAGGCTGCCCCGTAGCTGGCTTCAGTGTCCACAGGTGCCTACGATTTAAAGTGTCTGTCCTTGTTCTATTCCAGCTGCATAACTTTGTCCAGAACAACTTCACGAGTGCCAGGATGGCTCTGGTGGGTCTAGGTATGTAGGCACGCTTTTGGTGTATTATGGGTGTTGTTTAGAAAAACACCACCACCAAAGGGTTAGGTTGATCCCATAGATCCATTAGCATCTTGCAGCAGGGGAAGGCTCCCTCCATCAGAGGGACTGCCTCTGCTACTGGGACAGATCCAGCCCAAGAAACAGCCCCCCCCCCCCGGAACTCCAGGTAATTCATTCTCATGCAAGTGTTGTTTCACATCACAGGTGTCAGCCACTCTGATCTAAAGCAAGTTGGGGAGCAGTTTCTCAACATCCGAAGCGGGGCCGGCTCTGCTGGTGTGAAGGCAAGCTACCGTGGAGGTAAGCATGCTTTGTTATGGGGTGTTCTCTCTTGGTATCAAGCAGCAGTGTTATTGAATTAGTTTGCTGGGTGAGCAAACTTGCTGTAAGCTTGTGAAGAAATGCATTTTGTTTGAAGGTATGGGCTTGATGAAACCTCCACGTTGAACGTTAAAGGTTTTTCTCTCTTAACTAGTTGAAGACAGGTAGCAAAGGGGAAGTTAGTTGCTTCCTAGTGTCACCCAAGTACCAACTATCAAAGTTTTTCAACTGCTAATGGCTGTCCTGGCTGGAGACAATGAAAGGGTCAGCTCACATCTTAACTGGGAATCTGACACCCAGGACTGATACAGAGACCTGGAGAGTGTGAGGAGCGCGATTATATGTTTCTGGAGATTTCAGGAAAAGATTCTTTGACCAACAAAGAGTGGGAAAATAGATAATAAAATCCCCTGGTGCATTTTGACAGGTCCATCTTGTCTGATTAAAGCTGTAGGAAGGAGCCTCTTACACCAGAGCTCTATCGTGATGGCTGCCATTGCTGCACGGAGCAGTCAGTGGGCTGCCTGTCTGAACAAAGACACCAAAGTAATGGCAAACTTCTAGAACACTATAACCTCCAAGTTAAAGAGCGTACCTTAGAACAAGATCAGCTGGGACTTGTGTGGAGTAAAGTACCTTTCCTTCTTCCTTGCTTAGTCTGTTGGCTGTGCAGAGAACATGGGCATGGAGTTTTTAACTTTTAATACATTCTTTACTATTTTGAATGCTGGTAGTTGTTCTCCCTATTTCATAGACCTCTACTGTTCAAACATGCTGTTTAAAAAAGGTGCCAGGGGAAGGGGTGATAAATTGCTATTTTCCCAGGGGTGTGGAGGTGTGGGAAAACTGTTCCTGTGCTAACCAGTTGCTGGGTAGTGGGAGGCACAGGAACTAGGCAGAGCATTAGAACGGCAACAGGGAAAGGAAGCCGGGAGCACTGGCCTGCTTGATGGAGAATTCTTAAAACGGCCATTTGGTGGCAGCAGTACTGAAAGAGAGAACCCATCTAAGGGTCAGGTGGGCTGGGAGGACAGTGTGTTGCTGGGTGGACACTCGGGCAGTGGCTGGCACCTGGACACCTCAGAGCAGCTCTTATGGGTCACTGGGGCTTTTCTGTTGTGGGGTCTGTTGGCTTGTCTTGCCTGTCTATTGCATGGTTATCCCACCTGCCCTCCAGTGAGCTCAAGGCAGCTTATTTAGATTGCCTTTCCTCTGTTTTATCCTCACAGTGAGAGAGGCTAGAATGAAATCACCTGGCCCAAGGTCACCCAGTATGTTTTGTAGCTGAATCCAAGTGTCCCCAGTCCTAGTGTGACATCCTACCCAGGCCCACGTTACACTTGTATATGGCAACGCCTGAGTCTGACTTTGCAGAAGAAGGGATCTGCATATTATCAGAAATAGCAAGTAGCCAAGTTGGTCCATCTTTGCCTCCAGAAGCGATGGCAGAATGCCACTGATTTAGGACTCATGCCTGCTGGCAACTTTCCTTAATTCTGGTGATTTCTCAGCATACTAGCAAACATTGGAGTCTAAGTACCAAGAGGGCTTTTGTTGAAAGCCAATGTGACTGGCCCAAGATTACCCAGAGAAGGCTGATCAGGGATTTCCGTCCGGGCCTGAGTGTCTTTGCAGGCATGACACCAGTTCCCTCATCCCCGTCACTGTTCCATTCCCAGACTGCATGTATTTCCAGCATGTGAGTAGATCTGTCTCCCTTTACATGAGAAGTTTGAGAACTGGAAGATCTCAGAGGACTAGCACAGCAGCTATCGTTGATCTTGGGGTGATGGCCACATTTCCTGAAAAATATTTTCCTCACTGCTCCCAATTTTCCTCTTGCGATGTTCAGCCACGGGGAAGGCTAGGGGTGTTTTGGGGCCCTGATCACGTACGGCTTTGACAGGCCTGGCCCCTGGGAACTAAAGCAAAAACGTTCCCCATAATCCTATGCATGATATACGGGTTCAGTGTGGAAAGGGTTCCTCCTGTCGGGAAGCTTAAAATCCACTGCCCTGTGATTGGCTAGTTCCTAAGACCTCCCGAATTTCCCATTGGCTCAGGTGAAATCCGGGAGCAGAATGGTGACAGCCTTGTCCATGCTGCTGTGGTAGCAGAGGGAGCGACCATTGGAAGTGCAGAAGCAAATGCCTTCAGTGTCCTTCAGCACGTTCTGGGAGCAGGACCTCTTGTTAAGAGAGGAAACAGTGTTACCAGTAAGCTCATCCAGGGCGCCGCAAAGGCAACAACGCAACCGTTTCATGTAAGTACTTAGATCTACTTCCTTAAGCCAAAAAAGAAGTGAGCAGTGACTCACGAAAGCTCATACCCTACCACAAATTTTGTTAGTCTTTAAGGTGCTACTGAACTCTTACCCTTTTCTACTAGAGACACCAAACTCACAGGGGACATCCCCTGGGTACTCCTCTACATGCCCTCCAAGTTTGGTGAGGATTGGATTGTACAGGGTCTGAGTTATGCCCCCCCCCCCCCAAAAGAAGGTGACCCCAGGAAAGCGCTTTCCGGGGAAATGACCGCCTGGGGGCACCTTCTGTGGGGGGCCGTAACGTGGACATTGTAAATCCAATCCTCACTTAACTTAGAGGACAGGTAGAGGCAAGTCAGCCAGAGATCACCTGTGCGTTTGGTGTCTCTAGCTTGCACACGGTCCGTTCTTCTGGTTCACGAACCTCATGAACCCAACTGGTTCATTTGGCTGCTAAAAGTTTGTGACGGTTCATGGTTTGTGAACCGGGTATGCCACACACCATTAATCAGACCACATTTCCTCTGTCTGTGCCCATCCCTATTTACAACATAATAACAGCTAGATTAAAGTCCAGTAGCATTTTAGAGACCAACCAGATTTTTGGCTTACAAGTTTTTGACTGTGGTCACACGTGCCAGTTGTCAGTCAGTTTATTTCTACAGTCCTTAAACCAGTCTTACAAAAAGAAGTACACCTTTACAATATTCCAGGATTTTAAAATATATCAGCAAAACATTAAAAGCAGAATTAAAATTTAGTCTGATATCAAACTTCTATAGCTAACTAGCTACCTTAGAATTTCCGTGATCTGAGTATCACCATACAGAAACTGGCTACTTGGTAGGTAAACTTGGGATTTCTATCAGATAAAAGAAACTCGAGTCTAGCTTTTTCGGAGAGGTCCGGAATTTGTTCAATCAGTGGAATGATGATTTTATTACGTGCCACCTTATAATACGGGCATCTAAAAAACATGTGCTCTGTAGTCTCAAACCTCCCTTAATGGGCAGGTACAAAGCCTTTCTGAGAAAGGAATATTCTTACATGCCAGTTGGAGTGGAGGGGAAGTGAGGCTATTTCCTCCGGAGGAATTTGACATGCAGTTGCGAGATCACACCTCCTTTTGTAGCTGCAGTTGTAGCCCGTCACTGTGTGATCAGACGCAACTGTGGGTGAGTTGGGATTCTTTTTGCCATTTATTTCTCTTGCGCATAAACGAGGAATCGCACCTCCGCACTGAGGGCCTCCTATGGAGTATGCGATGATGCACATACTACGAAGGGGGGGAAAACAAAGGCACCAAGCCAGGATGGCCTGAGAGCGTGCTTGAGCAATCAGACAAGGGAAAGTCCATCCGTGGCCCGTCGGAACCCATTTACTACTGGACTTTCCCCGGTGTCTTTTAACTCCACTTCCATAATGGAGCAGTACGGGTTGCCAACGACTGCAGGACGCTTCCTAGGTGTTGCTTTCTGATTGCTCCCTTTAGATCCGTCATGTATTCGCACTTATGTCAGATCTAAAGGCACGTGAGATCGCAGCCCTTGAGAATCAGTGCTCCCTTCAGCAGATAGTATCTGACAAAGGGACCGTTGACCCTTAAACTTTTACCCTAAAAATTTTGTTGGCCTTTAAGGCACTACTGGACTGTAATCTAGATATTCTACTGTGCACCAGTGCGGCTACCCTCTGAAACTAGGTTCTATAATAGTCTATAATAACGGTGGGGATTTTTTGTCTCAGTAAGCATGATGGCTCAATACATGCTGGGCATAATTAAAACAGGAATAGAAAATAAAACTGCTGCTATCATATTGACCTTATACAAATCTATGGCAAGACGACACTTGGAATATTGTATACAGTTTAGGGGTGTGCAAAAACAAAAAGTCGGTATTTTTTGGCTTCGGATATATCAGACCCGAAAGATATCGGTAAATGCCGAATATCCCCAGTCCTATACCGGTAAAGTATCAGGACTGGGGAAATATTCGGTATTCGGGTCTGATATACTGGACAGGAGGAAAGGGAGGCATGTGAAATGCCTTGGAAGCTGGTTCAGTTACAAGTTATTTCAGAGTTCTCTCACGAGCAGTTCTCGAAAGAGCTCTCTCAGCCCTCCCACCTACCCCACAGGGTGTCTATTGTGGGGAGGGGAAGAGAAAGGAGATTGTAAGCCACTCTGAGACTCCTTTGGGTAGTGAAGGGCAGGGTATAAATTCAATCTCTTCTTTTTATTTAAATCAGTTGCTGGGGAGCACAGGCAGGATGATACTGTTGCATTCTTCTTGTTTATGGACTTCCTAGAATGCTGGACTAGATGGGGTTTGGGTGTGATCCAGCATGGTTCTTCTTACGTTCCCACAGTGGGGGATAGATTTTCCACAAGTTGCAGGAAATGAAAGGAATGGGGCTTCCGCAGGCAGTTTTGCATGGCAGAAATTCCCACTGGATTGTCCCACTCATTTCTGCTTAGACATTTTAATCTTGGGTTTTCATATGTGTGTGTATGAATATATGTCTGTGTGTATGTGTGTACATACACACATATGTGTCTGTGTGTATACACACACATGCACATATACATTTAGGAATGAGAAAGAGTTTATTGTTGGCTTATGTTTACTGAAAATATTCCCTCCCCCTTGCAGGCATCAGCATTTAATGTTAATTACAGTGATTCAGGACTGTTTGGCATTTATACTGTAGCCCAGCCATCAGCTGCCGGAGAGGTAAGTAACTCACCAGGTGGGGAAATAAAAAGCAAGCAAAACCTCAATATCAAAAGATGAATTTAAGGATTAAATGTGTGCATTAGGACCTTTTTTTGCATGCTTCTGACTAGGGGTGTGCAAACCCCCCCAAACCCTGGTATTTTTCAGGTTCGGGTATATTGGACCAAAAAACCCCACAAATTAGTATTTCCTGATATCCCCGAATCTCCATATTCGGGATTGCTGAATTTCATGGCTCCCATTGTACCCTATGGGGATTGGGGGCCATTGTAGTCAGTGGTCCCCATAGGCTATAATAATTGAGCTGGGGGTATCTGGGGCTCTGTGAAGGCTGGTGAGTTGTTTTGTTTTATTTTTTTGTATTTTTGCATTTGTGTGTGTGTGCCTGTGCCTGGAAGTCATGGCAGCCTCTGGCAACTCCTACTGGGGCATGGAGGACATTCAGAGAAGTGGCTTGATAGCTTGCCTCTGGCCTCCCAGCCCTGGTATTCTCTGGAGGTCTCCCATCCAAATACTTGCCAGGGTTGGCTCTGCTTAGCTTCCGAGATCTGACGAGATCAGGCTTGCCTGGGCTATCCAGGTCAGGGCTGTGGGGGCTGTTTTTTGAGGTAGAGGCATAAAATTTTCAGCATAGCTGCTTGTGCCTCTCCTCAAACCCCCCCCCCCCGAGTTTCAAAAAAAATGGACCGGGGGTCCAATTCTATGGGTCCCCAAAGAAGGCGCCCCCATCCTCCATTGTTTCCAGTGGAGTGGCGAAAGGCATTTAAAGGGAATGCAGTTCCTTTAAATGCCTTTTGCAAGCTGTGTCTGAACTCCAAAGGCATTTAAAGAGACTGAAAACCTGCCCTTTAAATACCCTTTAACTGTGGCTATCTGGTGGTCCCGAAAAATTCTGAATACTTTTGGGATTTTGGGGGTCAGCCATTTTTGGACAGCTGAATAAATCTCACTATCCAGCTGAAAAAATATCTGGAAAATACCAATATGGTATTTTGGGGGTATTTTTCCATCTTGATTTAGCCAAATGCACACCCCTGCTTCTGACAACCCTGTCTGTATTTAGACATCACAATAAGCCAGAGTTTGATCTCACCCTTGTAAGCTTCAGCATCCAATAAAATGAGGGTTGTTTTTCTTTCTGGGAAGGATGACTAACAAAATTAGATAGTAATAATGAAAGTTTGCTTAGCACAGGGGTATAGGTGCCGTTCTGTCTTTTTAAAATCCTCTGGTGGCGGAGCTGAAGAAAAACCACTTATCTAGAAGGATGAGCAGGTTGATCCAGTGTGCAAGGAGTCTTCTGTGCTGGCATTCAGTGATGTAGGCTGGATGCCGGTACCTAGCAAAATGGGGGCAGAAGGAAGGTGGAATGGATTTTGTCTACTGCAGCCAAAAACCAACAACTTGGTCCTTTAATCAAGGTAATCAAGGCTGCTTTGAACCAAGCGAAGACGGTTGCCCAGGGAGGACTCACCGAGGAAGAGGTCACAAGAGCCAAGTAAGTGACTGACTTTTGAACTCCTGCCAAAGCTTGTCCGTCTTCTGGGATCCTGATCTGCAAGAGAATGCTTGATAGTCCTTGCTTTTGTTCATTTCTTCTTCTGCAAGTTGTGGGGCAGTCACTTGTCAATATTTCTTTGAAGCCACAGTCACTTTGCCACTTCTGACTGAATTGTGCAAAGCTTTCTGTTCCCCATAAACATGCAAAACCAACTAGGACTAGAGGGATGGCATAGAAGTAAATAACATATGCTTTAATCTCTTAGTACTTTCTTGAGTAAAGCAGTGAAACATTTAAATGTATTTAAAATCTTTTTACTTCAGATTACTAAACACTACAAGATTCTGTACAATACATGATTCTGACCGTTTGCTCCAACACGTATATGAAGCTGTAATCTTTCTGTTCCACCTTGCCCCCTTGTGTGGCTTTCTTCATTTTGTCTTTCCCCAGGGCATATGGCATGGTTTTTCCTATGGCGCCATAGATGGCTATTTTAAAGTTACCAGCTTCTTGTAACTCCTGTTACATAACCTTTTAAAAACAGCATGTGAAAAGCAAAAAGGCAGTTAATGGGATTGTAGGTAATCTTTCCTTGTTCATTTCTGTGGTATTAAATTAGATTGCATCTTACCCTAGGAGAGAAACAACTAACAAGAGAGAGCTTGCAGAGGAAAATAATCTTTCTTTCAGGTCTTTTGAGGTGGGTGGGGAATCAAGGGGAACTTGCTGAAAAATCCAGCACCCTATTTGGATCGCATACCACCTTAAAACTTTCAATTGGTTCCTTTTGGTGTAAGCTAAGTAACTTCTACCCAGCTTAAAGCTCCCTCTCTGAAGTCCCTTTGCTTTTTGGATAGAATTATTATCGACTGCTTTACCGTATCAGCTTCTCCTGGGTCCTTAGCAGTTTCTTCAGATCTTCTAAGTCCTTCAGTGGGGCGGTTGCCTAGAAGGAGATGATGAACATGGAAAAGACACCCCAAATGCTGAATTTCTGCATATGTAGAAATCAGGTCTTTTGGGGTTTTGTAGCTGAGGGCCAAACTAGGCATTACGGTAGTCTGACCTGTGGGCACCATAACAGCTGGTTTGGCTGCAAGTGTCTGTGTAGGTTGTGGGGGCAAAAGGGGTTTTGGAGGAACAAACAGGTCTATGACCTGGGAGGAACCAACAGCTCTTGGATCAAGAAAAAAATCCTCTGTTTGTTGTACCACAAACAGCAGTGTGTCTTTTGGCGTCATGAAGAGTAACCCGTATATTGTGGCATCAGCTGTTTGTGGGCCTGTCATGGAGTTGGGTTTGAAGGGGGCAGTGGCTTCTGTCTCTCTGATTCAGCTCCAGCTTCTGAGAAGAGAAATAAGAAGTGGTGGAGGGAGAATCTTTCCTTTGTCCAGTTTCTGTGCTGCTTGTCGCACGAGTTCTGCCAATCCCTGCAGCTCAGTTTTGACACTGCGGTTAGCTAGAGTCCTGCTGCTCTCTTCTTGTCACCGAGGGCCACACATCCTCTAGGTTGGGGGGATTTTTTCTCTCCACACACTCTGGCAGGGAGGTCTCTACGGTTGGCCACGTGAGGCTTGCGAGCTTAGTCCTGTAACCTGCGATTCTAGTTCCTGATAAAAATAACACAAAGTCAGCATTAATTTTTCTTAAGTCAGCATTAATTTTTCTTAAGAGGAACAATGCACATTTGAGAAGAGATTAAGATTCTGACCATAAAGAAAACAAAACAAAACTTAGGCTCTGCTGTCCTCACCGTCTCCTTCCTCTGCGATTGGACAGAAACCAGCTGAAGGCAGCGCTCTTGATGTCTGTTGAGTCTTCCGACGGCTTGCTGGAGGAGATAGGCTCTCAGGCACTGGCGTCTGGGACCTATCTGTCGCCTGCTGCTGTGGTGGCGAAGGTTGACGCTGTGGCCACCGCTGATGTTGTGAACGTGAGTCATGTTCCAGGAGGTTGCATTGTTGTGTCAGAGCAGCTGTGTCTTTGGATGTAGAGAACAATATTAGGGGAGGGAGAGGAACAGTTCTGCAGTACTTACCCCCCCAAAAAAAAACGGTTTTCTGTCACCACGATTGCCCTTTTTGTATATCAGGCAAGCCCAAACGAAGGCCCTGGGCTCTTTGATGGCCCCGTGGTTAAAATACGTGCACTGCATCAGCTGACTTTTCGGAACCTAACGCCTGAATGAAGATAAATGTGTTCATATCGTAATAGCCACCCTGTGCCTCATCTGCAATCTTCCTCCTTCTTTTTCAGGCCGCAAAGAAGTTTGTGACTGGGAAGAAGACGATGGCCGCCAGCGGGGACTTGGCAAACACCCCCTTTGTTGATGAGTTGTAGGAAGGCCGAGGTGGGCCGGGGGGGGGGGCACAGAATCAGGTCAGACCCGCCTCCGGGGCACTTGCATTGAATCGCTGTTCTCAGTCTTCACTCTTATTTATGGTTCCGATGCTCCGAGCCTGGGGGTTACCATGTCAATTTACATACACTGAATAAAGGGCGGAGTCTGTCAGCATCTTTAGTGTCTTCTGCACAGCCAGTACTCCCTTCACCCCCCCACTCCATATACGGTGAAATATGGTGCCAGACATGGAATCCAGTAGCCTTGAGAAAACAAAGAAAAATAGATATAAAGAGGTCAGGTGAGGATTGCTGTGTTCAGAGATTGGGGCTCTTTCACTGAGGAGGGTACTTACTCCCTCACCAATAGAAAGCAGGACTTGGGATGGGCAGTGGCCCAATGGTAGAGCATCTGCTTGGCATGCAGGAGGTCCCAGGTTCAATCCCTTAGCATCTCCAGCTAAAAGGGTTAGGTGGAAGGTGACATGAGACCTCTACCCAAGACCTTGGAGAGCAGCTGTCAGTCTGATTAATTTGACCTTATTGGGCCAATGGTCTGATTCAGTATAAGGCAGCTTCATATGTTCATCAGGGAATATACAGATATGCAAATGTGTTTCATATAGAGTCCAGGGTCTTGGGTGGAGTCCAGGGTCTCTCTCTGTATAACTACCTGAAATCCCATAGCTGGAGGTGTCCGGGATTGAACCTGGGCCCTTCCACATGCCCAGCACACACTCAGTGTTCGAGCCATAATAATACCCTCTCTCCTGAGTTACACCTCACTCCCATCATGGATTCATGTGGAGGCCTTGGGAGAGTCACAGCCTTGCAGTAAGATTGGGAAGATTTTTGGTAAGGACTCCCAAGGCTTCTGTGAAATCTAGTGATGCTGCTTTCTCCCTGGCAAACCAGTTTTGTTCCTTTACGTTTCCATTAATCTTTTCCACGTAGCTGCTTTGAAAGCCCAGTGGTGCTAGCTGCAGGAGATCCTCTTTTTAAAAAGGCAGGAATGTTCAAATTTCAGATTTCTGTGGTGTGTTCATATGTACCTTCCCAACTATGAGGGCTAAACAATTTGTGCATAAAGAACACTGGCTGCTTAAGAGATCCACGGGAGCTCCAGAATGGTGTTATGAGTGTTTATGAGAATTTCCTAATTCTTGCTGGTAGCCAGTCTGATGTGGCTAAGCTAGTGTACTTAGTTTGAAGAAACACTCATCACTTACCTCTGACAGCCTAAAGACGGTTGAGCTTGATTCCTAGGCTTCCAGAAATGTGTGTGGAGAGTCCCTGAGGTTAGTCCCCACCACCACTGGAGACGTTTCAGGGGGTGGCGCATCCTTCCTCGATTTTTGTGATTACCAAGACCAGGAAAGCACAGTTCAGTTTAAGGACATGAGAGTGACGATCTAGCCACCGTGAGTGTTGTTCCAGACACCCGGTTTCTGGAGACAGAAGCTTACTCCACATCCTCAGAAGAGTCTGTGAGCCAGAACACATCTGACAAGGAAGAGGAAGATGATGTCGAGGCAATGGTCGCTTTCGGCATAGTCCAGTACAGCGAAGAAACATCCGTGTCGCTTTCTCCATTCCAGCCATCCACACGACAGTCGCTGAGGGCTTGACGATCACTTTTGATGCCTTTTTCTTCCCTGGAATCTTTATGGATCATAATATCACAGCCGATGTCTGAACCGACAGTAAATGTGTGTCTTTTCCTCTCAAAGAAGTGCCAGTCTCTGGAGATCCACTGAAGCTGGGAGGGAGGCTGAAAGCAAAATGCTTGTGCAGCTGAGGGGGCAGCGTTGGTGCCTCCGGGCTCCTTGTCCACGTCTTCGTAATGCACTGTTTTGTCACGATGAGCAGAGACGGGAGCAGCAGCAGCAGCGTCTTGAGCAGCATGATGGTCAGTGACGGCTTGATGGTCTCCTTCACTATCCGTTTCTTCGCTGTAACTTTCGAATTCGTCTGTGCCCTCGCTGCTCGTCCAGCTTTCTTCACTGGCATCACTAAAAATGCTAAAACGTACAAGGACACACATTTTAGAAAGCGTCTAGAAAGGTCAGAACTGGAATGTGCTCTGCCTGCAGACAAATGCATCCTCAGTATTTAGTCTTCCTTCTGAAACTTTAACCACCTTTCTAACTGTTTTACAATAAGAACAGACCTATGTTGAAATCCTAGGGACTTAACAACAAAGGCTACAGCCAGAAAAGACAGCAGTCTCCACCTTACCTATAACTCCTGTTGGAACATGAGTCTTAATGCAGAAAAGAGCAAGAGTCCAGGAGCATCTTAAAGACTAACAAAATTTGTGGCAGGGGAGGAGCACATGAAAGCTCCTACCCTGCCACGTCTTTTGTTAGTCTTTAAGGTGCTCCCGGACTCTTGCTCTTTTCTACTGCTACAGACAGTCTAACGTGCCTACCTATCTTGAGTCTTAATGTGTCAGAGCAGGAATGATAAATGGGGCATGTTGCCTTGAAGAGGGAACTTTGTAGAGAATAGGTTTTAAAGAGTGCAGTGGTTTGGCTGCTAGTTTAAGGTTTGGAAATAATGGTTAACTCGATTTTGACATACTGAGGGGGTTGCCTCCTGCAGATCTGTTCTGCCAACACATGTTTTTTTCTCTTCTTCTGAAAGACGCTTTCCACTAACACAAGACACTGAAAAGACATCTCGTGTCAAGAGCAGGCTCCTCCGCCAGAGGAAAGTGCCTCTGCTGGTGGAACGGATCCTCAGGTTTTCACCCATGCTTTGTAGAAACTTCTTCAAAAGGTAATTGGAACAGAACAGAGAGGTCACCACAATGCCTTAAAATCCCTTCTAATGGCAAAGACTACCCCTACTGTTTCCTTTCTCCCATAAGCACTAGATTGAAGCTCCACTCATTTTGATAGGAAGCCTTCAAGCTGCGAAGGAAACCTTTGGGGAGAGGCAATAGTTCAATAGCAGAGTATAGTTCTAGTAGGATTGGGGATGGTGGGGTGTCTTCATAGCCAGTCGTAAGAGCTCAACCTGATGTTCAGGTTAGGTTTCTGTTTTTTAATTCCCAAATGCTGTTTCGAAATGGCTTTTATGTCCGGTTTAGAATCTGTGGGACTGGTGTAGCATCCTGTGACTGGGGAGGGCTGTGGTTCAAGTCTCCCTTCTGCCCCAAACTCACTAGATGACCAGGGACGTTTTGCGCCCCCCCCCCCGCCCCAGCCAATAATAATATAGGACTTCTTTTCCATGGCTGCTGAAAAGACTGTAACAAGATGATGTCAGTGCGATGTAAAGCGCTCAGTGTTCCTTACTCGGCCCCATTCTTTTCCGGAATGTGGTCCATCATAGATGTCCACCTGCTGGGCAATGCAAGAAAATCCCTATAGACCTGGATTTGCAGAACGGTCCCGATGGGAGTGCCTTGCAGAAGTTGCCGGAGTTCACGCAGCGTCCACCCTAAGACATTTGCGTGTCCGATTTTAAGCAGCACATCCCCTGTTAGGAAAAGCAAACAAGAGGTTGTAAGGATTTGCTGCACCCTATCCCAGGGGGAGGACAGTCCAGTCCCACAGGGAGACCTCTCAATCCTGAACCACAGGCATCAGAGCGCCCTAAAATTTACACAAACATGCCTTTCTGAGGCCAATTCGTCTCACAGGTAATGAGCAGCTGTTAGACACACACAACACAAGCTGTAAAAATACAACTAAAGTTTATTTAAAAATAACATGAAAATTCAGTCAGGATACAGTTGTCAGGCTCTTTGTGCAGAAAACAAAAAACAACACTCCTACAGACTAATATTTTAAAGTTCTCCTCTTTAGTAATGTGTAACTCTTAATCATAGACAAATACTGTTATTACCATCTCCCCACATTCAAGTGAAAGATGGTGGTTCCATTGCCTAACAGCTTAATAAAGTTACAGGGGCTAAAGGTCCCCCACCCCACAGTACAACCAAACAGGATGTTCCTTTAATTAGCACGCCGCTTTTCTGTTAATATGAAAATCTCCCACCATTATCCAACTCCTCAGTTCTCAGAATCCAGTGGACCTTGCACAGAGATAAGACACACCTAAAGGCCCATAGGTGTTACTACTACTATTTTGTAGGAAAGCAAGTTCTATTACTGAAGGGAGTGGGGTGTTAGCTGTTCCTTACAGAGGTCTTATGGGAAGTTTTGGCACCACAAAAAAGGGGAAAATACCCAACCAAAAAAAGATAAGATAACATTTAAAAGGTTGAGAGCACAAAGGAATGGGGGGAAATAATATGATGCAATTAGTCTAAACAAATCTAAACAAGCAATTAGTGCACAAAACATAACACCAGCAATTTAATAAGTCAACGAATCCAAAACAGCACAGATATTAAAACAATGGAGAACACACACTGCCAAATGCAATAAAGCAGAATGCCAGATGCTTTGGGCACAAAGCTTTCACCAGTGGCTTATTACCATAATTAGCACAATCATATCGAACTCACTGTAAAAGGCATAATGAATTACAAGAACCAGCAAGATAACCACATTAATTTATCGGAGTAAATTAAAACCTTATATAAAACCAGTTTTCAAATATTTCTACCTTTGGGAATCTCTGGTCCAAATAACAGTATCACTATGTTTGTGTGTGTGCCTTGCCAGGCTAATATCAAACAGCATTTTTAGCTACAGTAATGTCACTGGAAAACTTCAGAACTGGAGGAAGAAAGGTCCTTCCCATTAACTGTTGGCCTTTTATAATCGCAAAAAGAGTCCTTTTCTCTTAGCGTAATCTATCTCCCATGGTTGTGGTGGGGGCAAGACAAGGGAGCCTGTGTCTGCTGCATTGAGTTCTGTGGGCTTGGTTGGCCGGAGGGGGAGGGATGGGAAGATTAGCTCACATGTTAGATAAACCTTAGTGCCTACTGGCTAGAAGAGTGTATCAAACACACATTGGTTGCACAGTACAGTAACCTACTTAACTTCAGCAATGTGATTTAGAGATTAACATGCTTTACTGGAAAGGCCGGGATTCAAATTCCTACTTTGGGCCGTCATGCTCACTGGATGCCCTTGGGCCTGCTGTCCTACCTTGCAAAACTGTTGCTGGGGAGGGAATGGGATCTCCTGTCCATGTATGGGAGAAGGATTGGATATCAGTGCAAGAGAACCAGTGTGGTGTAGTGGTTGATAGTGTCAGACTGGGATGTGGGGGGAATGCTCATTCAACCATGAACCTCATTTGGGACAGTCAAACCTTCCAAGCCTAGCCTGCCTCACAGGGTTGTTGTGAAAGCAAAATGGAGGAGGGAAGAACCCAGGTCTGCTGTCCCAAACAGACAATAAAACATTTAATTAGTTAGGTATAGTCCCCTTTGCTTCCCAGTCCTAGTCCTCCTGGGAAAACTTACCCAAAGGAGACTGCAACATCATTCTCTCCTCCTCCATTTTATCCTCATGGCAACAACTCTGAGCATCTGGCTCAGTGAACTTCGATGGTGGGACAGTTGAACCCAGGTCTCCCAGGCCCTAGTATGACATCCTAACTGCTCCAGTCCCCATGCTTGCTTTTCAGGTATAATAAGATGTCTGCCATTTGCTGCCTCTGTAATCCTTCTGAGATTTTGCATTTTCTCCTTACCAGCTTGCAGTTTTCCATCTCTGGCTGCTGCGCTTTTCTCCACCAGGCCTGTGAGCTGGAGATAAGGTCCATTCTGAATGATTATGAACCCTAGCCCATCGGTTTCCATTTGGATGTTGGTCTTTATCGTTGTGCTCAAACTGTGTTCAGATTCTTCATCTAAATAAGAAAGACAGAGGTCTCAACCCACAAAAATCCATTTTGTCAGCTGCATGGTATAGCATCCCTTCTCTCCCCCCCCCTTCCATTTGGTTCAGCATCTCCCTGGGCTCCAAATACTAGTTTGGGTCAGGAATGAGCCTTCCACACTTCCACAGATGTCATTTTGTGGGGCTGGAGCTTGGAGCGCAAGAATCTGCTTTCCACGTTCAAGGATCCTGGTCTGATCCCTGGTATCCTCAGTTAAGACACCTCAGCTGGTGTTAGGAAAGGCCAGCCTCTGCCAACGACCCTGGTTCTTTAGGAAGGGATGGGTTGTGTCGTTCCAGAAAATCGGGAGTCCCCAACCTTTTTCAGTCTGCGAGCAGCTTTGGAATTTTGAGGGGGGTGTTCAGCGTCACCCCAAAAATGGCTGCCACCGGAAGCAAAGCCAAATGCAATACCTTCCTCCTCTCTTTGCAAAAGAATCTCGGGAGAGGAATAAAAAAAAAATGAAGGCAAGCCGGAGAGGTGGGAGGAAGAAAGAAAGAAAGGGGGGTGGGGATAAAAAGGAAAGTCTGAAGGGGAAATGGAACCACAGACACTGGCTAAGGAAAGTGCAGAGGCTTACTAGTCCCTTTGACCCTCTCATGGCTGCGGCCTCTATTTCATATGAATGAGGTCAGCCAATAAGAAGCCTTCTAACGGCCCCTCCCACACCCTGAAAAGCTCGGGTATCAGAGGGCGTACTGGTGGGTGCCTTGGCACCCACAGGCAGGCACTATGCTGGGGAACCCTCTAATACATGTCAAAAGCTGGTCTGTATAGCCCAGCATCTGCTTCTCACTGTGGGCATTTGGAAGTTCCTGGCTTTGGATGGGGACCTTGGGCCAGCTGAAGTTACGCAGGGATCATGGTAGTTGTCCTTCTCAGACTAGACAACAAGAAGTACTTTGCTCCATGAGTAACCCACAAAAAACGGAGGAATGCTTGGTTCCAATCTTACCTTCATCCGAACCATAGTACTCTGAAGTATAAGTTGAGGAATGGGTTTCTGAAGAGGAAGAGGCTAGAGGAGGAGGAGAATTTAAAACACAGGTCGTAAAGCTGATCTTGGCCAGCCATCTAAGCTTACCGTTCCTTTTGTCCTGGTGTCACAGAGGAGACAGACCCCTCCCCCCAAATCCTGTATTTGCCTTACATTACAAACAAAGCGCCAGTCGGTTGTTTTTCAGAATGTTTAAAGAAATTACCCAGAGGTATTTTACAACCACAAAGAATTGCATTCATTCGTTCATTAAATTTTATCCCACTTTTCCAAATAAATTTGGGGAGTTTGGATGTAGCTCTCAGTGCAGGGCCAGCAACATAAAGGAGAGTCAAATGCAGGCCAAAGGTCCAGACGAAGAGGAGGTGAGAAGTGGAAGTGGAAGGAGCCAGTACCTAGAAGCATAATGTAGGCTGGGGCAAGCTCCAGGCAGCTGGATTGGTTTGGCCAACAGAACAATTTAAAGTCCTGGACTAGATCCTTTCAGGCTGACCATCAGACTGAGGACGCAGCTTGCAAGCCCAGGCTTTATATATTATATAGGGCCCGAGACTAGGCAGCTGATCCCAGGAACTGCAACCCAGGAGGCGCTGTTTTACACAAGATGCCCCAGCTGCCTCTGGACAAAAGTGAGCACTTTTGAATTTCATCCTGGGAACAGATTGCATGCCCAGTGAACTAGCTCCATTTTCTCTTTTCCTCCCTTGCTATTTGACACTCCCCATGCCTTGTTACAAACTGCCTTTGTAAACCCCCTTAGTTTCCCCAAGTAGTTTGTCGTGAAGCAGTAAAAGCTGAAAAGCATAAGGTTTTTTTGGGTTTTCTGAACTAGACCCACAATATTGGAGATCCCAGCCAAAGTCCCCCCCCCACACACACACACCAGCTATCAAAAACAGTGGTGCTTTTCATAATCTGAAAGAAGACCAGTAGAGAACTGGTAAGCGTTACATGGTGATTTCTCCAACAGAGCATCGCCATGATGGTATCTTCCAAAACTCAGGCTTGTTACAACTTCTGCACAGTTCCTATCGGAATAACCGGTGGCATTAAGGGAGTAAGGAAAGAGAACGTGGGGGGAGAGCAGTGTTCCCTCTAAGCTGTGCGTGTGAGCGACCACTCTCTCACACAGGAAGCCCTCCTCAGCACTAGTCGGGAGCTCTTCTTAGGTCTTGCACTGCCCATTTTAAGTTTACAGCTGTTACGTTCTCAGGATGTGAACTGCTGTACTCAGTGGGAGGGGGGACACATTTAAGTGAGAGCCAATTCCTTTACTTCTTACCTTGATAGGCAACTTAAACTATTTCTGGTTTTGTAACTACCTGAGGATCTGTCAGATGGTCGCCTGTGGTCTGACGGCACTCTCACCGACGGTCGCCTGTGGTCTGACGGCCTTCTCACTGACGGTCGCCTGTGGTCTGACGGCCTTCTCACTGACGGTCGCCTGTGGTCTGACGGCCTTCTGTCCGATTGTGGTCTTACCGATGGCCTTCTTATTGGCGGCCTTATCGATGGTCTCCTTCTAAAAGTCGAGTTTCTATTATCCATGGACACAAAACCTCAAGAGATGGTCTGAAAACAAACCAGAGTGAGGAAGGAGGTCTGGCATGTATTTCCAGAGAGGGGGTCGCCAGCTTGCTCTGTCCTACGAAGGGAGAATGCCGGGACAGACAAGGGGACAGTGACGGTTTAGAATCCTAGCACCACAGAGTTCCGCGCTTCTTGGAACCTCCAATTATGGGAGAAGATCGGAACCTGCCCTGACAGTCCGTCTCGCTCTGTATGCGTGACGCTTGTCCTCCATTCTTGCAGGAACTTAATTTTGAGCACGAAATGCCCTAACGCTGCCGGGCCAGTGTGTAAACACACCAATGGGTTTTAGAAGTGCTAAAATGGGATGCCCTGGTGTGTGTCCCCCCCTGAGGTCATCCCTCCCCCCTTTTTTGCAAGTTGGGTGATTGTCCTATCTGGAAATGATGTAGGTCCACCTGGTGAGGAAGAGTGTGCCTGTAACAGTCCTGTTGGTTGGTTTGTTTAACTCCTCCTGTGCCAGGGCCTTGATCCAGATTTCTCCTCCCAGCTAGCTAAGAACCCTGAAGAAAAGGAAAACCTGAAGGAACTCCATCCGTGGGTTTCCTAACACCCCAACTTGACCCCTGCATTTCATTGTGTTCCGCAAGCCTGACTCCGAGTCCCGAGTAAGCCCGCCTACGGCCCTGTCCCTGCTCTTTGCAGTTTGGTTGATGGCTGTGCGTGTGTGCTTTGCAATTCGTGCAGAATGGTCTCAAAATAACCGCCGGGCAGGCCGTCCAGGCGCGCGCGTGCCCCAGGCTGTGTGTCCTGCAGGACGCCCACTGAAAGGAAGGGGCGTCGCCGGAGTCGGGTGTATTTTTAGACTCCTGACAGCTCTGTGGGTTTTGACTCGCCGGACTTGGCACCGGCTCGGTTTGTCAGGCTCCTTCAGGTCCCGATTTAGACGTCTGGCAGCCGGTGTTTGCGGTGCGGCCAGGAGTCGCCGCCGGTGATTATCTTGAAAAGCCTCTATTCTGTTGCTCTGGGGGCGTTTTATTATGCAGACCTCGATCACGCCGAGGTAGTCGGCGTGTCTCTGGGCTGCGTCCAAATGAGCCAGCAACGATGAAGAAGCAACTTCTTATTTACTTTCCCTCACGAAAGAGGCGCGTTCCCTCGGCGCCTTGTTGCCAAGGCAACCGAGGCAACAGCTTCCCGCCTCCGACGGCCAGAGCTAAGCCACGCCCACCTCGGCCTCGGCCCCTCCCCCCGCACCGGAGTCCTTCTCTGCAGCCCTGCGTTTCAACCTTCTGTCCCCGCCCCCTTTCCGAGGAAGCTCCGCCTCCGAAATCTTTCCCTCCCGGCCGCTTCCAGCTAAGCCCCACCCAGGTGTCGCCTCCTCCTCCGAAGCCCCGCCCCGTCTGGGGCAAAGTGTGAACGGCAAGGCGCGCGGGGAGCTGAGGACGAGAGCTCGAGCCTTCGCTTCCGGGTCGCGGTAGCCTCGGCCCAGGTTTTGCTTCCGGCGCCGTCCCGAGTTGGGGCGGGGGGGGGACCCGCTCCTGTGTGGCGGCCGCCTGAGGAGGGGCGCCGAGGAGCCGCTGCGGGGCGGGCGGAGGGAGCCGAGTCATGGAGCCACAGCTGTGAGGCGCTTCCCCCCGGCCCGGGCCCCGCCTGTGGGAAGCCGCCGGGCCGAGGCCGGAGCCGGAGGACATGGACAAACTGACCATCATCTCAGGATGCCTCTTCCTGGCCGCAGACATCTTCGCCATCGCCAGCCTGGCCAACCCGGACTGGATCAACACCGGCGAGTCCGCGGGTGAGTCAGGGAGGGAGGCGGGCGGGCGGGCTGCGAGGGGCAGCGGAGGAGGGTGCAGAGCCCGGAGGGAGAGGCGCTCCGGGGAGCGGAGCCTGAGGAGGAGCGAGACCCGGCGCTGGAGCCCCTTCCCCAGCGAATCCGGAGGGGCTGGTCCGGCTCGGCGGGGGCCCGAGGCTTCCCCGCCGCCTCTTCCTTTCTGCTCGCGGCTGGGTCCTTCCTCGCGCAGCGGCTCCGGCGGTGGGCAGTCCGGGTAAGGTCTAGCAAACCTGGGCACACGTCCCCAGTCCCCCACGGGTGACCTTGGGCCACTCGCTTTTTCACTCCCGCCCTAGTCTACCTCGCAGGGTTGGTGTGAGGACGAAACGAAGGAAGGGAAGAATCGTGGGGTTTACCGGGTGACCTTGGGCCAGGCACTCTCCCTAAGCCTCGTCTACCCCGCAAGGCTGCCCTGGAGGATAAAGCAGAGCAGGGTGTCCGTTTCTTTTAATAAAGTGCCTGTGTAAATGATTGAGGAATCGTAGTCTTTACACAGTATCCATTTACGTGTTCTTGGAAATTATCCACAGTACTACTGCGTCTTTTTTACTAAGACAAACTGCCATGTTATTGCTGCTCCAGTGTCAGCCTGGTGTGTAATTTATTAATGGTACGGCCAGCATTGGACAACACATTTGCTCCAGGTTGAGGCCATCCAGAAACGTGCAGTTAACCCTTTAACAATTTGCCAAGCACGGGAAAGTTTTTAAATGTTTACGGCAAAATATCAACAGTAAAGGAGACTTTATCGTTTAATAGCTTAAATATTTAATGTTTCATGGTCACTGGGTGATCTTGGGCCCAACAGTCTTTGCAGAACCTACCTCACGGGGTTATTGTGATATGAACTAAGAGGGAGGGAGAGCCACATAAGCTTGCCTTGGAACTCTTTGTTGGAAGGGAGGGTAAAAATACCCCAAACAGCCCCACGGGCCACATTAGATTGCAGGTAATTTGCGGTTAGGAGCTTCTTGAAAGTGTGCAGTGCCAGGAGAGAGAAAAAAACAAACCACTCAGTGTGCATTGAGAAATATAATGTTCTAGCGATGGATGTTAATGGAAGCGTTGGCCTCATGGAAGTGCATGTTTTAGAGATGAATGTGAAGTCCCACTGTGGCAGAGCTTTACAGGCAAGTAGCAGAACCAGTCTTGTTTTGGCCAACTTGGCTGAAGTGAGTAGATTTCAGATAAACTATGAAACAGAGGAAGAGTTGTGTGTGGGTGAGCCATATGAATACATGTTGGGGTTTGCTATGTGATGTTGGGGGGGGGGAGCCACAACTACACTCATCCCATGCAGATGAGAGAGGTGGCAGAAGAGAAAGCATTGTTGGTTTGGGGTTTTTTTTTTTGCATTCTAGGGTCACTCTAGGTAAGGAAAGGATTCCTGATTTGTCAGCAAAGTGCCATTCCAAGCGGTTGGTAGGAGCCAGCAGAGCTGAAAATATTGAGCTGAAAACAAAAGCAGGAGTGAAATGGCCACGAGGATGCAGGACGTAGAAAGTCCTCTCTGCAAGTTCTCAGAATGCCGTTTGGGGAGTAGCAGTGCAGTGCCCAGAAGGGGAGTGAAGGGTGGTGGGAAGGGCATCACTTAGAAATGACAGTATTTGCGCACTGTACTTGAAACTGGGTGTGTATGTGTGTGTGTTAACTGGTTTCTTGTTGGGAAGGTGATCGCGTCAGCTCTCTTGGTCAGTGAATGCTTGGGACAAATTTGGACATGTATCAGCATAAGGAACTGAAGAAATAAGGACCTAATTATTGCCGTTAAGACGCTGAACTGCAGGCTGTGGAAGGTCGGTAGTTCAGCAGTTCGAGACCCGAGTGTGCCGCATGACGGAGTGAGCTCCCGTCTCTAGTTCCAGCTCCTGCCAACCTAGCAGGTCGAAAGCAAGAAATTGCAAGTAGATAAATAGGGACCACTTCGGTGGGAAGGTAACAGCGTTCCGTGTGCCTTGGTGTTTAGTCATGCCGGCCACATGACCACGGAAACATCTTCGGACAGCGCTGGCTCTTCGGCTTTGAAACGGAGATGAGCACCGCTACCCTAGAGTCGGATTCGACTGGCTTTCGAGCAAGGGAACCTTTACCTTTTTAATTACATCAAGGCCAGGTACCTTGTAGGTGAGAGATGCTGCTTGAGGGAATTGATTCCCCCCCCCCCCCGATGAATTCTAAACTGAATTACTGTTTGCTTTGTAAATGAAGAGCAACCGCCCAAGCATTCTGCTGGGATATCAGATGTGTTTTGTTTTGTTTTTGTGATGCAACTGGAAGTGGTAACCGTTTTGTGTGTGGGTGAGCCTGTGTGAAGTAAGGACTGAAATTGCAGTGCCTGAGGGTGCAATCACCCGAGAATAGACTTTTGATTAATGTCGCTGAGTTCAGTGTGTGGACATGTTCTGGAGTCTGCCAGATAGCCCAGACAGACTGGGCTCCGTTGAAATATTTCATTCCTTTCTGACAGTCTTTAATTTTATGACAGTGAATACTTCATATCTGTTGGTGATGCTGATACTTATTGTGCTTGAGAATTGCACAGGACAGTTGATTTCCATGAACGGTTGACTTTTTAAAAAAGTAAACATCTTTCTTCTCCGAATAGTGGGGATTGTTCTTAAACATTTCCATTTAAAGTAATAACCTTGTTTACAATCCAGTATATCCCTTCTCAGAGGTTGTGCTTTGTGAGCTGTGAGGCCGTCCTGTGGATCCCCAAGTGATTTTCTCAAAAAGAGGCAATGTTGTTAGCCTGGTCAAAGCTGGAGAGTCGATACTGAACTTCAGAGTTAATCTCTGAAACGTATTGTTGCCATTTTTCTGTCTAGGGCCCCAGTTTTCTTCAGTCTCTGCTTCCGAAAAGCAGCCAACATGGCGCTGTTAGATCCTTAATATCCTAAATTGTGTACAGTACAATGGGGAGGGGCTATGACTCAGTGGAAGAACCTCTGCTTTGTCTACAGAAGGTTCCAGGTTCATTCCCCAGCATCTTCTTGAATAAAAGACCAGGCAGTAGGTAATGTGAATGACCTCTGTCCGAGACCCTGGAGAGCTGCTACCAGTCAGAATAGGCAGTGTTCTGGACAAAGGGTCTGGTGCTGTATTCAACAGTTTCATGTATGTCTGTGTAGAGTGTCTGGTTTTTTCCAGTGTTTGTTCCCCCACCTGTGTTAGTGGGTTTTCCCTCCATATCTTTTCCCATGTGGAATGTGTGTTCCAACAAGGGACTAAAGGAATTGATCAAAACCTTTATGGACCCTCCAGTCATCAAAGGGGTATGGGCACCACGGCAATTGAATGGGAGCGATGAAAGGCCCTGGGTGCCTTCTGCTGATCTTTGGATGGAGGAGTAGCAAACCAAGATGGTGGCAACGAGGCAGCCGCTGGGGAACGGAGCACGTGTGGGCACAGGCATATTAATTCATTCACTGCAGGGCATGGGATTACACTTCCTCTTTCATTCAGGAAGGGTGTCCCTTTTATTGTGTGCTCTCATAGGGGCTGTTGGGTCTAGTGGCAAACCAGCTATTCCTTTCTTCCTAAAGTTCAGCATCTAAGAACTTCCTGTAACTGCCTCTTTAAAGTATATCCATTTTAGTCATGCTGCAACAGTTAGTTCTTGCTGTTTTTTTCCGGGTCTCCGGCAGTTCTTTTCTACTGTTGTTGCTTTGCTTGCTCATGAGGGTGGCGATTCAGTGAGGGTCACATGAGCCAGCACTGCTGCCCTTAATAAGCCGGCATGGTTTTCCCCAAGGAAAAATCAACCATTAGTTGAATTTAGGGACAGTTCTTCCTGCCGGAGTGTGACAAGTGGTGTTGGTTTGCTCTGTGTGGGAACCCAACAGCCTGTTGCTTCCGGAGATGCACTTTGTTTCTGGGCAGGCGGGGAATGCGTTTCCAGCAACTGGAGAAGGGGCTAAGAGCAGTGTGATAAATTTTGTGGCCTTGAGCAATAGGGCTGTTTGCAGAGCAACTGAGGGCATGCGGAAAGTAGCGCTAGCCAGGGAATGCTCCTGCAAGCAAAGGGGGACTCTAGTCACCCATCATGTATAGGCATTTTAATCTTGACTGTTCCCCAAAGAGCAGCAGCCCTGGAGGTTTTTTGGTCATCTTCTTGAGCATGGAGCAGGGGTCACTGTGTGTGTGTGTGGGGGGGAGGTATTTGTGAGTTTCCTGCATTGTGCAGGGGGTTGGACTAGATGACCCTGTAGGTCCCTTTCAACTCTGTGATTCCATGGTAGGTTAGTTCTAGAGAGAGGGGCTGGCCCAAGGGTCACCCGGTAGGCTTCATGGCTCAGTGGGTGGGTTGAACAGGGGAGCTCCTGAATCTGACAGTAAGCACGCAATGGCACTGGCTCTCTTGGTACAAGAGAAAGGCTTTGTTGAGAAAGGAGAACACTCTGGGTATTGAATGCAAGCCCAGGCAGTAACCAAGGGCTGTTTGGCACACCTGCCCTGAATGTCAGTGGCCCTGAGCGTGCATACGGTTCACAACTGTTACAAGCCCTTAGCCCTGCCTGGGGCGGAGTGTAACTCTTTTTTTTTTTTTTAATGTATGTGTTAGTGAAAGTAACGTGTGGACCATGTGTGTGAGTCAAGTCAGCAGCGGCTTCCGAGGTCCTGGCAGCAGTTTTCCCACCTGCCGCCTTCAATGGAGATCCCTGCTGGGTTTCGGTGAACATGCAGCTCTTGCCTTATGCTGTTGTGCTTAATTGCATACTTTGGATTAGCTGAGGCTGCTCACACATGGAGGAGAATAACTGTGTGTGAACCAGCCTACTGGTAGGTAGGTGGACTGTGTACATACATTCCCCCCTTCTGATACGGAGGAGTCGCTACGTTTTTTATTAGACTCATCGCAAAGACAAATGCATCATGAATGGGTTGAAATCCTGCCCCTTTTATGCAAGGGGTGTCTAAAATGCTCCCCCCTGAAAAGTCAAAGCCTGGATCCGTTTGGCCAC